AAACAATACACTTTATATTGTTTTAAATGAGAGCACTTTTAGTTGAAATCAATCAATATCTTTATTTATATTTTAAATTCGAAATTTGAAATTTAAGAACCAAGTTTACCGAATTTACTTTCTTGGTGGAAGATGCAAACTTGAACGCGCGTATTTCTTAAGTTTTTGTGCATTTTAATAAGAAAAATTACTCAGAAAACAATATTTGAACTTTTTGGTAGTGAATTCAATTTGAATTCATGTTTAATTTTTTGAACAAAAAGCATAAAATAATTATTCATATATAACTTATTATTTAGAAAAACCCACTTCTTAAATCAGAGAAATAAAATCACTACAAACGAAACCAAAACAACACAGCGCAGCAGAAGAGCAACAGTAATTGTCCTCAGCCAACGTAGTGTAATGCAGTAGTTTTGTTTTTGATTTGTTACCGTTTTTTTGTTTTTGCACACAATTCTTTTTGGTTTGTACCTTCTTGACAGAAAGCATAGAGTTCATCTTTATTTGACATTTCAAATAGCGTTGCCAATACATTTCATTGCAATTATTGCATCTCAGAATTTCAAATTTCAATATTAAAACATTTTTCCTTAAAAAAATTTATGTTTGTTTTAGTTTGGAATTTGCTTTTGTATATCATTTAGCATCATATTCTTTTGTGTTGGTTCGTAGCAGTTTATCAGTACTGCTTTTTCGAAAGACATCTAAGTAACTTAATTACACGTAACAATGTCAACATAAATATTAGCATTACTTTACAACAATGCAGAAAGAAATATTATATGCAATGACCATATGTTTACATATATATATCCATTTATGTCTACATCAGTTGGACATTGAGAATGTCTTGCTGTACTTTTGTATTCTGCTATATATTTGGCTTGAGATCACTTTCTATATTTTAATTGAATTGACTGTTTTTGTTTGTTTATTTCTTGCAAACAACTTTTAGAGATTTAGGAATTTTTTTTGAAATTGACCACAATAGACCACATAACAAACTCATATGGTTTCTTAGCTGATTAGAGACTTTATAACTAGTCTGCATTACTGTTTCAGATGTTATATCTAAATATGGTAATATTTAATTTTAATTTATTTAAATTATTTATTGTTTAATTTATTTATACCAAAAAACAGCAAGTTGCTAACCTATACTGGCCGAAATGTATAAAAAACAATAACACTATTTTCTCTATCTAAACCAGTAGTTGTTTACTGGTCACAGTTTTTGGCTAATAAAGAAAAAGGTGTTACCAACGCAATAAGCGAACTATTATGAACCTGCATTGGAAATTCCAACGAATATTGCAATTATACATCAAAAATCATATGTAAACAAAAATCCAAACAAAATTCAAATATTTCATATATTTGAAAATTGGGAAAAAAAGAAAAAATTGTTTTATTTTGAAATTATTAACATTTTACTATTCCTTTTAATTATACTAATTATTTATTTTTATGCAAAATGTAATTTGCTTGCATTGTGTGCTCATATGCATGATTTGCTACAAAGAAGATTTTATATAGAACGGAAACTTAAATGAGCACAACAGAAAATAACAAACACACTCTCAGAAATTGCACTAATACCATCTCAAAACGTACGATTATTTCCAAATTGAGCAAGTTTAGGTCCTTATTCGCTCCGAATACGGACCTTAACTTGCTCCGAATAAGAACCTTAAGTTACTCTTAAGAAAAATTTTATGGGCAATGAGTGCAACAGAGAGCATAATTTTGGTTCTCTGTTCTGATTTCTTGACAAAAAATTTGAATGCACTGCGCTATATTTAAAAAAAAATTACCGGGCAATTGATTGTAAAAAAGTAGTAAAACTAATTTGCGCCCAATATTAGAAAAAGTATAAAGCAAAAAATGATCAAAGTGATTTAATTATAAATTTTTTTGAAATAATAAAGTAAGTAAATAATAATAATTATGTTTTAAAAATACTAGTGCATATAATTAATAAATTAATGTTTTGTTGATGGTGAGACATTGTGTTAGAGGCTGTGCCACTTACAAGACGTTACACAAATTTCCAGCAACCGATGATGAAGGAATGCAATTGTTATTATTTGTTATACTATAATCTGTGAAATATTTGAAATATGAATTATTTCTTTGGCAAGTTTTCGTATTGGTCTATTAATATTCAGTACTGTGCAAATAATAATAAAAAATACCATCACTATTGTTTTTTTATATGTTTTACAACTACTGTATTTAAGTATTTTAAGATGCTACATTTTTAATATTAAGTTTATTATAAACATGTTTATTCTATATTTACTTATTTGTCTAACTATAACCGTTTGAGTATTGTATGAATTGTATCAAGTGTATTTTTTAATAAAAATTAAATTTATATATAAATAAATGAGTTAAGTGTATATTTATTAAATGCATAACAGATAACGAATGTGTGTGTTAGATGTGTCTCTAAAAAATAATACTATAATATTTAATTTCATGTTGTTTGAATTTATTTGCAGTAAAAGAATGTTGAAATGTTTTTAAAAACATAAATTTTTTAAAAACATCAAAAAAGTATGAAGTAATTAATTTACAACACAACTTTTTGAATAAGTATTAAGAAAATTTCCCCAAAACTAATAATACATAAAATAAAAACAAATTATAATATTTAATTAGTTAACACAAAATGTTTATTAAAAATTAACGATGTGCGCACACTCCCTTGCGCATCAACGACCTATTCGGTACTGACTACAAAATTCGTTTTACGAAATCATAAAATGAAATTTTGTAGGCAGAAATCGAACCATGCTCGTTGACATGCGTGCGCACCCTCACGCATCAACTATTTATTCGGTACTGATTATAAAATTCGTTTTACGAATTAATAAGAATGAAAATTTCTTAGGCAATGCTCTATTTTAAAAATGCATTCACCATAATAGAGTGGCCGTGCAAGCAATAAAATTAGTATTTATTGCGATTGTTTAAAAATTTATTTAATTTTGAAATTATTTTCTACAATTTCTAACGAAATCCAATATATATTAAATAAATTTTGGAATATTATATTTCTTGAAGTGAACAATGCTATATACTCAGTTATTTATTTCTGAAAATAAGTAAAATAAATTATAATATCACTTTTGATATGCTTAACACTGAATTGCTATTATAAAAATTAATTATTTCTATTTTTCTGTATATAATTTATTTGCATAGATATGTGAATTTTATGCTGCATGTAATAGTATATAAATTGTATATATTAATGTCATATAACTTTAAATTTCATTGTATAATATACCCAATTTATTCCAAAAAACTTTTTAAATGGAAAACATAACCATGATATTATACTGAATTTAATTTCAAAACATATTTTTTTCAATTTCAAGCTAAAATAGATTTTAATTGCTTTCAACATATTATATGAAACCCTTCTGAACTATTTTCGCACATCAAAAATATATAAATAGCTAAGAAAAGTGTATAAATAATTGTGTAACATACTCAATTACAATCACAAAAATTTTTTGCATGATTATAAGTTATTGTAAATAATTCTATTTAATTTAACAATATTCAAATTATATGTAATGTATGCTTATATTCATTTATGAGTATTTATATGTATATCTGCTTCAATAAAAACTTATACAGTAAGTAGTTGAAAAAAAGTTATGCAGCAGCCCTGAAAGAGCATGAAAGAGCGTAAAAGTGGCATAAATGTGGTTTAATCACACTTATTTAATACGTGTGACAAAAATGTTATAAAAAATGAATTTTCTTAAGCAATTTCTCTTAGTTTTGATCGAGGTGGGCGGAGTTTCCATTCTATAAAAGATATTCTCTGATTTGCTATTTGTCAAAACATAACACTTGACAAATTGCTACAGTGATGCCAATGTGTCGTTAATAGTAGAGGCCAGCATGCATTTTTTTACCACACTTGCGAGCCACCGAAAGAGTCTATTATTAAGCATTTTGGGATTGTTATTGTTAAGCTGCGCTTTTTTAAATGAAAAAAAGTTCTCTTGAAAACTTGAAATAAACGCCAAAAATATGAACTAATATGGCGTTTACAGTGGCCGAAAATGACTCACTTTGAACAAAAATGTTGCATGAAAGTTAAATATGCCTTCAAACTTTACAATATAAACTTAAAACATATTTTTAACTTCGATTAATTACCTTTTGAGAAGTAGAAGTTCTAAAAAGAGGTGCATTGTTTTCAAGAAAATGCAACCACCAAACATTTGTTTACGCTTTTTTGTAAATATGTCAAAAACAGCTTTCTCAAACTGTCAAAATGCCACGAAGAGCTTTTATTTAGGGTATGTTCAATGTATTCCTTTGCATTTGGAACATATTTAGAATGCATTCGAACATCGTTGGGACCTATTCATACAGCATGTGATGAAATGGATCGCATTCGCGCTTGAAATTTTGTAAGCAAGAATAAGCCAATCGCTTAACATTTTCAATGTGTAACCAAAATGAGCCATATTCGGCCAGTGTAAATGCCGTATAAGATTTGCTGTTTAATTTAATTTTTCTTGTTATTTTTCCGACAAAGTAAGCAAACAAAATATATTGTTTTGACAAGGGCATCATACTTTTTAACAATATTTTTATCTTCTATGCTTACGCAAATAATTTGTAGCAGCTTTCTTTGTCAAAAAGTTCATTCGGTTTGCATTGAGCTTTCGTGATTTACTGAATTACTTCATCTCAACCTTTGTCCATTCAAAAGCGACATTTGTATGATACAATAATTGTTTGTTTAAATGTATTTTATATTAAAGCAAATAATATTGTCTCTTTTACGTTAAAAATTAAAAAAATATTAAATTTAGTTAATATTACTAAATATTAATATAACAAAATTAATTCATATATCACGTGCTCTTTTTTTTAATAACAAAAGTTTTAAAAAAAAATAAAAAATACTTGGAAAATTAATATTATTTCAAATTTTCGTATAGTGAATTATATTAAATTAAAAACGGGATAAACTATGTAAAGCAAATATTTTGAAAAGTTGGTAGCACTGCTAAGAGTATATTAAATTATATAAATTACGTATTTAACTTAGCTGGCAACATTTTGTAGTCTTCGCTGAAACGTCAAAATCAAGTCGAAGTTGTTATGGCGGACAGAATTACTCCGGAGACAAGATAATATTTTGGCTGAAGTTTGTTGAATAAATAATAAATAGAACTCAAGAAATACCTTAAAATCTCCAAACTGTCAAAATTCAGCAGTGATATAAAAAATTTGTGGTTGAATATTACTTTAATCAATTTATATACAAGCCAGAGATGGATGATGGTTTATGGTACGTAATACAAAAAACAATGAAATAGTTATAAAAATTGGAAAGGCAAAAGTGTTAGTGGTTTTATTTATTTAATATTGTGGTTAGATTATTTTGGAGATATTACGACAATTAGTAATATTTTTTGACGGAGCAAATGATAAATTTATTTATTTTATGTACTGCAAGGTCACAACAAGCAACAACAAAATAAGCGCAGCTAATAGAAACGTTTGACGTTTGTTTTCTTTTGTAATTTAATTATATTTTCTTTTCGTAAGTGATTGGGAAATTTATTTTCGTTTGTAATGGAAACCTTTTATTTAACCATATATGGTGTCAGTTTAATGTTTACAAATAAATATATATAATTTAATATATATAATATATGTGTGTATTTACATTACAGGCTTATTGAATTGGAATCGGCGTTACTGGATGATTGCAATGTTAACGATATATACAGCATATGCCAAGGCAAATCATTGCCGGAATCACTAAGGCCTGATGTGTGGCAAGTCTGTCTCGATGTGCGCAACAAAAGCGATCAAATGTCGCTATTTAATGAAATATACGATTTGCCATTCCAAAATAAACTACGCGAGGACTGCGGTACGGTGGTAGAGCGCATTGGAAATGATGAAAGTGACAAAGTGTCAGTTTTATCTGATCTGGAATCGATATTAACATTTTATTGTAAAAATCGCAACATGCAGTATGGGAATAATAACGGTTGGATTGAGTTGTTGCTGCCACTGCTCTCGCTTAAACTTAATCGCTCCGATACGTACAACTTGTTTGAGGCAATTCGTGACACTTATATTCCAAAAGGTTGTAAACCAAAAGGCAATGTTTTTCATGTATTTCGGTTACTCATACTTTATCACGATCCGGAACTGTGTACAATGCTGGACACGAAGAAAATTACTCCAGACTTGTACTCAATGCAATGGTTTTTGTGCTTATTCGCGTCCAGTTGCAGCTTGTCAGTAACGTTGACAATGTGGGATTTTTACTTTCAACACACTGATCCATTTTTAGTATTTTTTCTCGGTCTAATTATACTTGTAAATGGACGAGAACAGATTTTGGCCATGAAAAATGCAAACAGAGAAGAAATCATAAAGTTTTTAAGTGTTATGCCTTGTGCTATAGAAACAGAAGATGTAGTCGATTTTTGCTCACTAGCACAGTATTATTCTTTAAAAACTCCAACTTCGTTTAAAACTGATTTCCTAAAAGCGCTTTACGGTACAACAATTGAAACTGGCAAACCTGATACACCTTGTACTGTATCACAGGTATAGACGATATTTTCTTTTAATCACGAATTATTAAATTATAATTTTTATTAATTATTGCAGGCATTATGTCTTCCGGTGTCGGTGTACGAATTGGTTGAAACTTCTTACGAAATGAACAACAGTGATGGGGTGCGTTTCTTTTTAGTCGATTGTCGTCCAGCCGAGCAATACAATGCTGGGCATTTATCAACTGCATTTCATCTTGATTGTAATTTAATGCTTCAAGAGCCAGTTGCATTTACAACTGCTGTGCAGGGGCTACTAACTGCGCAACGGCAATCAATTGAAGCAAATTCAAATGCTGGTGGTGAACACTTGTGTTTTATGGGCAGTGGACGTGATGATGAAGATCAGTACACGCATATGGTTGTTGCATCATTTTTGCAGAAAAATACTCAATATGTCTCTATATTGTCGGGTGGATATACAGCTATACATGAATATTTTGGCGACCAAATGGTTGATTTCTTAGAAGATCATAATGTGCGCAAGTGCATTGTATGCATTAAAAACAAAGTGACTGCACCTAAAAAACAAGTTACAGTTGATACACCTACCGTTGCAAATGGACATGCGGTATGTTTATAAGAACTCCACGTACATATATATATATATGCATATGCAGTATAAGCAGCTAAAAATGTGTTTCATATGTCATTTAAAGTATATAAGGAACTTGATTTTGTTGTTTTTAACGAAATTTGCTATTTCATCAATAATCCCTGTAAAGCATTATTAGCACAAAAAAAAAAAGAAGGGGAAATAACAATATAATAACATAAATAATAATAAAAGATAGAATGAATTAATAGAAATTCACAAAACGATGGCTCTGCAATTACCTAAGAGGCAGATCATCCTTTGTCAATTTTAGAGATAAATTATCTAAAGTTAACATGATGATGTAACAAGATATTCCTCAAGACAGCATTCTTTCACCGATCCTTTTTAACCACTACATGCCTAAACTCCCAGACCTCTCTGAGAGAGTCAGAGTCATAATGTATGCAAATGACTGCACAATGATTAAATGCCTCCCTGATTTGGCGTCGTTTTTGGTTGATAGAAATCTTCATCTATTACCAAACAAATTCTCCGCCATCCTCTTTACTTTTTGGACTAAATAGGCATCCATGACTCTGTCCATTGTTATCGGTGAATTCAGGATCCCTACCACTATTCTACAGCAGTAACAGCAGTTTAGAAATTTTAATACTATCGTTTTTGATAACAAGCATATGGAAACTGGTAATGGGAATGGCAGTTAGGTTTACTTTCAAATTAAATTTGATATGGATGCGCTTATCTTTAGCAATTTTACAATTTAGACTGAAGTAATAGTTAAGTTAATCTATGTTAATAGTTTCTAGTATATGAATTTATTTGTGTTTCCATAAATTCTATAGATATTTATTGTCATTATAAAATTTTATTTACAATTTATTTTAATACCATTTAATAAAACGTAAACACAACGATGCGTTTCCTTGTGTTTGCGTTATGCAAAATTGAAGTTTAATCAATTGTAGTTGCTGTGTTATTAATTAAAATTAATACATAAACTACAGCTATATAAATTAATTTTATCATCTTATCATAAATGCTTTCCATGTTTACTTAGATATATATTATATTAGCAGCATCAATAATATGTATATTGTTTTTTCAGACGAAATCAGTGGTTAGTAAACCATCATCGGACATTTTTAGTAAATTTTCTACGGCGATGAAAATGAAATCAGCTGATATCAAAGGTAAACTTTTCGAAATTATTGTAAATCCGTCGAACAGTGTTATGGGGAATAATGCCTCAGGCAGTAATAATAGTCAACCAACGATACAGGAGCGGCATGTTTCCGCATCAGAACGCAATGGAAAACGTTATCGTAATGTTGCGCCAGTATTTAGCATTGATGAAGACAACGATGATCAGTATGATCAAGTAGACACCAAAGATTCACCCGATAAGGCAAGCACAAAATTGCCTGGTGATGAAAAAGAAATTGTGCAGCTAATAGATTACCTGAAATCACCGGACATAATAAATGCATTTAGATGCCAGGAAGTTCATGTAAACGGTTTTATGTATGACAGCCACCTAATTATAACGCCCACACATTTGATTGTGTTGCGGGAATTAGGACGGAGATTGGCGCAAGTAATTGTCAGACGTCCATTGGCGAATATTGTTAAAATTACAGCTAAGAAACGTCATAAGGACTTGATAACATTTAAATATGGCTTTCCAGATGGCGATGAACTTTTAGTCACAGATATGGATCGATTTTTAATACCAAATGCAAGTGAGGCCACTGCAATTGTGTCGAAACACATTAAGCAAGTGCTGGACGGTGCTAAACTGATCTAATCAATAAATCTTCCACTACACAAGTATGCAGATATTGTCACATATTTACTTATGTAAACTTTATATACCTATAAAAGATATTTTTATTATATTTTATTTTAACTTATTTACATATATATATATATATATATATATAACTATAATAATTATATAAAATGTGTGAAGATATAGTAACTACTACCATTATCTAACAATAAGTTTATAGTCAAAAACTTGTCTTTTCTATTTTCGTTGCTATTTCGTTGGCATATTGAATTTAAAAACTTTGAAATTGTTGCTAATGTCATACGTTGAATGTGTCATTTTATCAATTATTTATATATCTATATACAGACATGTACGTTTATTTATTTTTAACACTAATTTAGCTTTATAGATAATACTATTTTGTTGTTTTTTAATAGAAATATATTACGCATTTTTTCTGTTATAACTTATAAGTTACATATGGTTATGACATTGTATTATATAGAAAAATCTAACAATTTTGTGAATAGTATATATGTATAGTATAGAATAATATGTTGTTTGTGTTGCAACTCTACACACATGAACAGTTTGCTGATTCCTAAATGGGGACTATTGTATCTCAGCAATAAAAATGCGTGTCCTTTGAATATTTTTAATATTCGAAGTATTTCATGTAAAAGATAACAATAAGAATTAGAAAAATTTTATAAAAATAAATTGTCTTAAATGTGATATATGACGACATTTAAAATGAATTTTTTAAAGTCGATTAATTGAAATTTTATGAAGGTTTTGTTTTGTTATCCATTAACATATATTGCATCATTTCGTTATAAGTTGCTGTTACTTTTTGTTTTTGCTTTTTGTTATAATTTATTTATTTTTTATTTATTTATTTTTTATTTATTTATTTTTTATTTATTTATTTTTTATTTATTTATTTTTTATTTATTTATTTTATTTATTTTTATTTTTATTATTTTTTATTTATTTATTTTTTATTTATTTTATTTTTTATTTATTTTTTATTTATTTATTTTTTATTTATTTATTTTTTATTTATTTATTTTTTATTTATTTATTTCATATGATTTTATTTTATTTTATTTTTTTGTGATAATTTGTATTTATATATTTTATTAAACTTTTTTGTTACATATACATATATCGTCATACCTGTTTTATATATATAATGAATCCTTTAACTCCTAGGAGGTGCCTAGGGCTAACAAGTATGCGACTTGTTAGCTTTTTTTATATATTCATAAATTGGTTTTTTTTTCTATCGTATTTTATATTTTAATGTTTTCTTCTTTTTTGTTATAAAATTAATTATGTATTTATCAATTAATTTATAAATTTTATTAGTTTTTTTTTATTTCGATAGTCCCGTGTCTATTTTATTTTCTAATATTTTTAATTCGCTAAACACTTTATTACGTGCATTATTTTTCTGTTTGATTTATACGAGTATATAATTTTTTTTTATTTCTGTTTGGTTTTCTTATTTATTTTAATTATTATTATTAAGTAATAGGCTATTAAAGCACCCCGACCTAAAAGCTCTATTGTGCGCCAAAAGGCCCAACTAGGACAATTTTAGACTATTTATAAATCTTGAAATTGCTGTGGGCTTAATTTTATCTATTTGATTTGGGACTAAGGTCCCGCTTCCAAGGAAGTCGAATTAACGTCTTGCCACCGCTGGGCAGTTGCAAAGAATACATTCTGATGTTTCCTTCTCCTCATGACAGAGTCGACAGGAGTCACTTTCTACCGCACCTATAATCTTCGTGTGAAGATTAATTCTACAGTGTTCTGTAAGAAGTTCAGTGTAGATTTAATTATTGTTTCTCCTAAGGCCAAGGATAGCATCAACTTTGATGTGATCAGGATTCAGGATGTGAATCAGAATGTATTTTAATACTATTTCTGTTTCGTTTTAATATCACTTGTTTTTAATATTACTTGTTTTTATATTTATTGTTTTTAATATTATTTTTTTTTTTGTTTTTATTATTATTCTTTTTGTGTTTTTTTTTTAATTGGTTTTTAAATAATTTGTTTTATTATATAAAAGCTTGTGTGTCCTCCATTAAGATATATAGGTATGTTTGCTTGACAGCAATCATTAAAAGTGTTTAATATAATGTTTAATATTATATAAAATAGAATCAAGTATTATATAACCTAACTTGTATATTATTTTATAATTCTTTTATACTTCACTGTTTATAGTTAAATAATTTTTTATATCTCTTTATTTTTAATAACAATTTCATAAAGCAATCTTATTTTTATTTTTTTACCTTTTGCTTTTATATATGTACTTCTGATAATATTAGAATTTTGAATTTTTTACAAACTGTTTGATTTTTCGCTATGACTTACAATCTCAAATTACAAATTTTGATCTTTGAGATATATGATAAAAGTTAATATTGAACAGAAATTACATAAAGTTCTTGTGGCAATTGAGATATTATTTACATACACAATAACATGTAATTAAAATTATTTTACAATTTAGTGAAATCAGTAACAAGATAATCCATCGTAAAGATTTTATACTCGTATATCCGCATTAACATATATACTGGTGTATATATTAGTGTTTATTATCATAGAAGTGTTCTTGTTGTTGTTGTAAACTATTGGACTTGTTATCCTTGTTTTCAATGGGAAGGGAGATGCTCTTAATCATCTGTATAGACAAGTAGGTTCAGACGCAGACTCCTAGAACCTTTGCTAAATCATATCATAGCTATTTGCGATTATATTACATGTATTATTTATTGTTTTAAATTTTATTCATGTTAATGTATACCATGACAATTTCATAAACTCGAGCTGGTCTTATTCAATATTCAGGACAAATTAAAAGCCTATTCATCGGTTTTAATATGCAGCTAAAGGGTTCAGTTTCTGCCATATTTGATTAAAAAATAGTTTGAGTCGAAGTTATTCTGAATTTACTACGTTTTCTTGTGTTCTTTGTGGGTTTGACTACAAGGCAATTTTCGTTATTGTCGATATATTTCTTTCGTAGTATATATTCTATTCATCTCTATTTTATGATTTCTCTCAACGGCGATCTTTGGTGATATGGTACCCAAAAAAAATTTCCTTGTTTCAATCAAATATGCATTTTAATGTACCATTACGTATTGATGGTACTCAATTAAGCATTAATTTAATTAAAATAAAAATAAGTACATGAGCAGTGATGGAAATAAGAAGCTTTCAAGCTTAGCTCCGTCAAGCAGAATAAAAAAAGATCTGGAGAGATATTAGAGTATCAATATAGGAAAGGAAAAATTCATTTTCGAGACAATTTATATATTTTACGTTACGTTTAAACAACGTAACAACATAACTCCACTCGTCTGCGAGTTACGAGTGGAGTAATGGTCTATAAGTGCGAAGTTGTTGCATGAATTTAATCTGGTTATAGTAATAAGAATTAGATAAAATCTAGTTATTCTTTTCAATAAAGATGGTTCTTTTGAATATGGAGTATATGGTACTACACATTTCGTATAGACCTTATATGGAATATGTGGTTCCATTTTTAAGATGTGTTGTAGACGCTTTGAGGAGAAAACTCTATATAATCCCTCTTTATATTCGTAGCAAATGTGAATATCGCTTCCGCTTCCAAGAAGTAGAGAGCTGATTACGGTTGAACTCAATATGACTTTTGGCACCGGATAGAATTGGGTATAGATCAAACAAAGTTAGTAGCAATTTTAAAGTCCTTATATCTAAAGAATATAATAAGCTTGGCATCGAGTTTTGTCTTGTTAGTGCGATATGTGCGGATTTTTTGTGTACTAGGATCACTTGTAATTGACAGAGTGCACTTTGACAGTAGTTGTAGCGGAAAAGGATTTTCTCGGGTTGATTTTAGTTTAAGGACGAATTTAGCTACATAAAAATACCGGTTAGTCTTGCGGTTGAAAACAACAACTAAATTAAGAGATTCGAGGCTTCTAAGGTAAGTATCGCTAAAATGTCTATGACTGAACCCGGGTGTAGTTCTCACATAATGCGTTGGCATAGCTGTGGAGAAGTGTTAAATTTTTACAAAGAAAACTTGGGGATAGTGAACAGCAATAGCTTTTTTCAGATTCTTTTCATGCAAAGAAGACAAAAAATGTTGTACTTTCAGCTTTGGTACATGTCGAAAAACAATATTTTCTGTTTTATGTTTTCCGTTCTTTGATTAGCAGAAACCACTGACAGTCTCAGTTAGTAAGGGACTTTATTTTTATTAGATCTGAAAATTAAATTCTGGTTTTCAGACAGAAACAATTGAGTCTGGAATAAGTTTAGTTAATCGTCAGGTAACCTAACGAAATTAAAAATTGTTAAACGCACAAATTTAGATAATCTGGTCATCAAGATCCGATGATGGGGATTTCGCAACATTCGAAACATACAGATGTTTGGTGAGCCAAAAATTCAATTAATTAAAATAATATAAATAAGTTTTTGTTGTTGTAGTTTACTACTTTTCGAAACCTCTCTACCAAATAATCTTTATTGCTAGCCGTGGATATAAACTCTTGAGTAAAAAAATCGGTCCAAATAAGGCGAATGTAAATTCAAATGTAAAGGAGATAATAATTAATTTTATTAAAAAAATAATACAAAAAGTTGTTCTTACATAAAAAAACATATTTAGAAGTCATAAAATATTGGAGAAATTTGTAAATAATATTTGAGAGAGAAGAGATATATAACAAAAATGTGAGTGCAGTGGAAGATAAAATTTATGTATGCAATATATGTATTCTATATATTACACAAGTAAAGATTGTTTACATAAACATCATGTACATTTCAAACAAAATTAAATACAATACCTTTTAATTCAAATACAAATGTGTTTAATTTTAAAGCGATTGAAATTTTTAATTTTGTCGAAAGCTTTTATGATATGTCACACTATCGCGACACATAATGATAATGAGATCTCATATTAGTAAACACGAACATAGACATATTGTGAATCATATTACACCTGTGAACCGCTGTGATATGGTTGGGTCATTTATCTTGTCATCTCCACCATTTTATTTATTACGATTCTTATGAGTCAGTGCCTGACGCATACTA